CTTTCTGTCAGTCTATCGGGATACCCACGTAGTTTTTTTTTGATGCCTATTTAGTTTTTTTTGATGTCTATTTAGTTTTTTTCGATGTCTATTTAGTTTTTTTTAACCCCTCTCCCTCCTACTACTACTACTACTACGACTACTAGTAGTACTGCTGCTACTACTACTACTACTACTACCACTACTACCACCCGTGAACAACAAGTCCCAATCTCTGAGCCCACAGATCCCAAACCCAAGTTCAGCTGGATGTGTTGACACCTCTTGAGTTTTCCCACTCACTGTTGCGCACAAGTAGTCGACATCACCGACGAAGCCAGCTTTGTCGAGCTCATCCACCAACATCTGCCTGTCGTGCCGCATCAGGTGTTCCCGCATCAGAGGAGAATTGGCGGAAGACATCTACCTTGTGTACTTGTTCGGGATGTTCCTCGGTGCCGATCGCGTGCAACAGACCACAGAGCACAATATAGGCTAGTTAGTGTGTCCGGACATGCTGAGCAACGAGCCGCAGCATCACCTGGAGGTTATGTCCACCAGCAGACTGCAAGACAGTTTTTGCAGTATTATTTTAATCCGAGGCCGTGGCCGTCGTGTAGCTTTGATCATCCTCCTCCTGTCTTGAGCAGTACAACAGCACTTGTGCAGACAGTGTTGCTTCGCATTCCCATGTTAGGCAGTGTTGTGCACTCGACGTCCTTGGGTTTTCTGTTGGCCTTCTTCGCCGCTGCCTCCATCTACATGGCCAGAAGTTCCACAGACACAGGACTTCATCAGCAAGACCCCGACCCCTTGGCTCGAAGATGTTGCAGCTTGCACGGGTGTGCTGGATGCCTCGGAAGCTCATGGCAGCTAATCATCGCGTGCTCACCACGACTGTGGAGCTTGGCGTGCCTTGATGTTATTTAGCAGGTCCAGCTGCTGCCCGTTGCCTGTGTCGAAGATGCCAAGTCCTGAGGACAGCCGCCTCCCTTGTCGATTCGTTTGTACAACACAGCTGGTCGCCTTTGCCCTGCGGTAGCTGCTGCAGCTGTTCTCCACCACTCGACCTAGGTCGCAACGCAGGGCAGCATCAGCATCTCTCTTCCACATTGCGGAGTTGCAAGAACATTGCAAATTCTAGATCCTGCGTTTCAGTTTGTTGGGACGGTTGCCCATGGACAAGCAAGCGATCTGTTTGTGCAAGCTCTAGACGAGCGGCAGGCAACAGAGGTAAGCCACCGACCCGCTCATCTGGGGCTGCCAAACTGCCGTGCCTTGGAGGACGGCAGACCGACCGTCGAGCAGTCGCGTCTTACTGCACAGGAGGAGAAGGACTGCCTGCCGTCCAAGATGCTGCCACCTTTGGGCAGAAACAATACGGCTCCGCAACAGAAACGACTATGACAGAGGTCTACTTGCGTTGTGAACAGGTTTCCTGAGCGTTTGATGTTGACGATTTACTCCGGATGCGTCTTCAAGCTTCACAGTTCTCTGGAGCCACCATAAACTGCGGGACGTGCGGCCAAGCTCAGGCATAGCTTGTTCAGACTGCAAGTGAGGGAACACTGAAAAGAAAGTCTGCAGGTGCCTCCACCCCTAGGCCTTTCAGATGTTGGTCAAATCGCCAGCTCACCTGGCAAGACAGTAAGACTCTATACGACTGCGCGGAGATAACTCCAAAACTTGGCCTCGACTGGGAGATCTGGAGCCCTGGAAGCCACTTCGCTCAGAAGCTGAGCGGAGCGGGGCAGCACCTTTGCCGGCAAGGCCAAAGCGAAGCGAAGTCGCAGGACGTCGCAGGTACAGAGTCGAGAAAGTCGCGCACCAGTTTCTCCGCGGAGCCCCAAGCAGAAAGCCTGCTGAAATCGACTTAAACCGGCTCTTGCTCGCACTTGCTCGCACTGGCGGCTGCAAGGCGCTGAGCGCCAGGCCATCGGCCCAGGTGCGGAGCCAAATCCGCGAGGCAACTGAGAGCAACATGCGCAGCGATGCGCAGCGCAGATCTGAGATCTTTGACTCAAACCTCGGTGGAACTCGGACAGCCCGATCTCGCCAGACATCTTCTGACTCGACTACCTGCACGGCCCGGGTCGACCATAACGGAGAGGTTCACACGAAGAGCATCACCATGCCTTGTGGAATGCCACGCTAACCTTGGACTGCAGTTGGACAGCTCCGTCTTGGTTCGTGCTTCTGCATCCAAGGTAAAAAAAGTCTGGGCTGCTGGCTCTAGAAAGAGCAGCCAAACAGTCCACTTCAATCACGGACTGAAGCACATCCACCCAAACCTAGACCAAGTGCCGGGGGAAGTGGCAGAACTGCCCCAAGCTGCAAGGCAGCTTTGCAAACTTGAGATAGCCAGCTGTCATTCTAGAACCTCCCTGCCCGAAAGAGGTCTAGTCTGCTTGTGTGCGGGTGCGGGTGCACAAACCATCCGTTGCGCCGCCTCTTCTGGAAGCTCACCTGGCAAACACTCCTGCCAAGATAGATCGTCGCAAGTGGCATATGTAGGTCCAATCGATGCCATACCGTCCGAGACTTTTTGAATGCAATTGGAAAACCCGGTGAATTGCGCCACCAGAATCGACTGGCACAAACGTCACGAGCAAGCGGCTCAAATCTCCCAGTTCTCCCAGATGTTTTTGGCACCCCTCTGTCCTTCGAGAGCTCCAGCTCTTTCAGGCCTTCACTCTGGAAATTTCCCAAGAATTCGTGTCAAGGAAACACAGAAGTGATGGCCCTCGGCTTTCCTGCCAACGCTGGTGGAGGGCTGACCTGACCATGCTCGGATGAGACAGGAACAACAAACATGAACGCAACGAAATTGCTGCAATACAACAGCTTTGGGTGCAAGGCTGAGAAATACAGAACTGGTGAGGAGGGTGGTGCATGTCGCTGGAATCCTACGTACCTCGAGAGCACCGCGTGGACACGAGCAGCAGCCGATATCGCGGTGCATGGAACTGGCTTGCGCACGGCGACGACGATGGAAGCTTCCCGTCCCTGCTGTTCTCAGCTGGGTTTAGCTCCGGCTCCTCCTGGTCATGCTCTCTTGCGTCTGCGACTGCAAGCAAGTAACCATTTTGTCCTTGCTGGAGGTTGGAGAGGCATCCATCTCATCTATGCCTCCGAGTCTGCGGAGTCTCGAGAACAGCAGCTACACGCCCAATGCGGCAAAGACGGCCTTCATCCGGAAGACTGGCCGGGGCGCGCCGGCGCAGGAGCCGATCAAGTTGGCCCCGCAGCATCTGAAGTCATGTCAATCTTCAGAAGAAGGAATCACTCAGTTCTGCGGATGCTCCTCTGAAAGGACAGAATCGCAAAAGCTCTAGTGAAGCTGACAGATTCGGCAGAGAGCCCGAAGCATGCGCACTCATACTGAAGCAGTTTTGTATTCTGTGGTGCCAGTGGTGTCGTCATGCTTTCGTACTGAAATTTTCTGTAGCTCTTAAAAAGAGCAAAACTCTTATCAGGGGATCTTTGGCTTACTCTCAAGTGTTTTATGGGCGGCAGCCTGCGGTGCATGGCGCAAGGAGCCGACGAAAGGGGAGTTTCGTGGGAGCAGCTCTCGCCTGTCTTCCATCTCCTGCCAAAATACAAAGTCGCTTTGAAGACATGGACCAGGGAACCCCGTATACCCTAGAGGAATTATGATGTAAAACTCGAGGCCGCTTCTACGCACAGACTCCTCATCTACTAACATGGCTGAAGACATCGGCTTCAGCTAGATGGCCTTTGCCAACATCGCACGATTCCTCATGCTCAGCGAATGTGCTGCCCAGGTACTCAGGCCGCAGCATTCAATCAGCTGGCTGCTGTGCTTCAAATCTTACAGCCCTGCTCAAGCCATCGAACAATCGACGAGAAAGCTGAATCGATATGGCACCAGTGCGCCTGCCGAGTCGTCGAAATTCTCCCTCCTGCCTCAGCCGAGGCCTGGAAGGATCAGGCAAGGACGACTCTTAAAACTGGGATGTAAGGCAGCAGCTGTCCACGAGCCTGTTGCGAAGGATCTGCTCCTTGGATACGGATTGTTACATGTACCAGAACCCTCAAGGTCACATGCAGCTATCTTCACTCATGCCGAGCATCGCTTAGAAAAGTAGACTCGCCGAAGGGCAGGTACCGCACACAAATATTGAGAAGCTGCAGCACAAAAACGAAAAACATGATGTCAGTCTGCTCGTGTCTCGGGATATCAGCTTCTCAAATAGGTTGTCTGCAGATCGAAAATGAGGCAATGAGAAGATAACAGGTCTGTCTGTAGCTCCTGCTGGTTTCAGCAGTAGCAGTCATAAAGCCGGTGACCTGCGCAGTCAGAACTCCTTTCCACAAAACCGCTAGCAGAGTGCAGAAGTGGAGGAAAATATGGCAGGAGCAATGAATCGCATGTGATGGCCACTCCACCCGAATAGGAATCAAGCAAGAGCGGATCGGATGCGATGAGAACATGGTCGTGGTTAGAGCTCTTCAGATTGGAAGCACTGGGAATGTGGACACGAGGGATTCGAGCAAAAATGCTTTTCATGTCGGATAAAGACGAAGCCCCAAAATATTGCGAATGCTGTGCCGTCTTGCTGTCGTTTGCCCAAGCCTCACAACATGAAAACCGAGGCCGTCGTGGTCATCATCACCATGGTCATCACCGTCATGACCATCATCGTCATCACCATCACCAGCATCATCACCAGCATCATCATCATCACCATCATCATCCCCCTCCAGGGCTGCTTTGCCCGTATGTTCATCTGAAAACTTGTGCACTGAGCTCATTCGGTTGGGCCTGTACTTCAGGAGTCTAAGAGCTACCAGGTTCCTGCAGTGGACGTGAGGCTGACCGACAATAGCGAGTCAACGGATATGGCTCTGCAGATAGCTGTGGAATGGATGGAGCTGGCGCGCACTGCCTTCGCAAGTCTGTTGTCAGCCGTGCTTTCCTCCTGACACCGTTTTCTCCTCAGCCAGGTCTGAAGTCAACCAAGGCAGCTGGCGAACAGCCTGATGCGAAGAACTGGGTCGGTTCTCCGCCGCTTCAGGCTTTGCGGCATTTGCCACCCCTCCACCCACCTGCCGCAGGATGGACTCATTGACCTCGCGTCCCTGAAGCCTCATTGCCATTGCAGAGGCTGTCCTACAGTAAGACTTGCGATCCGCTGGGGGCCAAGCATGTCCATTAGAACCCGGCTGTGGCGTTCCGAAAGCCTCTGCACAAAAGAGGTTTGCAGCTCGTCGCTTGGGCTCAAACCTCAAGCCCTGTCCTGAATGAAGATCGCAAAGCATCGAGACTTGCCCTGATAAGCAGCGTGGCAATGCGTGGCAACTTGGGAATGCATGGAACATTCAGCAACACTTCCACGTCCATCACGTCCGTCCTCACAAGGGCATAGCGGCAACAGGACAGGTTGCGCCTCAGCGTCAAGAGAACACAAAGGCCGAAAGAAACTCTCTGCTCGTGACTCCGGCGATCCCCAGGCGTAGCTCCGAACATCCGCCAGATCCTGCGCGAAGCAGCAGAATGCTACAAGGCTGTTGCGGAGTGCTGCGCGTCTCGTTGCCTGCGCATCCTGCCCCGGGGAAGGAGCCGGCAAAGCAGCGAGAATTCCAGAAAGCCTGAAGGCCGAGAGAAGACATGAAGCCGAAGCAAGAAGAATCAACAGCACACCACAGGCAACCGGCCATTTGCAGCTCTGCTGTTCACTTGCGACATGTCGCACAGATCGAGAGGTATCAAATGCCAGGAAATGCAGGCCGGCACAAGCTCAACTGAGGTAATCTTTGGCTGCGTGCGCGATCCTACTCCGTCAGAGGAACTGGTCTCTTTCAGGAGAAGCTCCGGGTCAAATAATGAAAACTTGGGAATGGGCGTGTTCGCGTCCAACTCACGCAATGGGTCACGGAGCAGATCTGGAAGCTGCAAGGCCAAGCGTGCCTGCCACCGCAACCGTTGTCCATAGTTGGCTCTATGCCTTGCCTCTCTCAACCAGCGTCACTGAGCTTACGGCCTGGAGTCGATCTATGAGATCGTCACACCGGCTACTGACAGCGGACAGAACAGTGGCCTCCAGGTCCGAATTTCAAAACGATGCTTGCGAGGCAATCCTCCGTGCAGCCACGGGACACTGTGGTGACCACTGCTGGGATCACTTCCGTGAGCCACCCAAACTAGCCTGGCATGCAGTCATCAGGTGAAGAGGGTCACCAAGACCCAAGGCGGGCTAACATCTGCCTTGTCTGCTCCCGCATCCACAGCTGCAACAGCCAGGGTGTGAGTCCGAACATAGCCCCCACAGCATCAACATCCTGGCCGCGGAGGCTTGAATGGGTTTTACACAAGTTGCTTCCTTTCTCCGACTGAAGCAGCACCGTCTGCATGCGTCTGCCATGCTGAAGCCTGCCTCTTCACGGAGCTCCTGCATCATCTGTCGCAGCAGATGGCTTCCCAAACCCCGTCGCTGCACAGCCTGGGAACGATTCTGACAAGGTGAGGCCCAAGCATCTAGAAGGGCTGTTGCCAGCTGTGGCAAGCGCAGGGTGAACGCAAAGCCGCATGACCTTAGAGAGTCATGCTCTCTAGATTCTCAGTTCGAACTGCCAAACAACCATCTTCTTACATGTCAGCATGGTACTGCAGACTCAGACCAGAACACGCGCAAAACGATAGCTTACTCCTTCGCTGAAGCCAGCCTGAGCCAAGACTACCGTGCTCTTCATCGGACATGCCCACACATCCGCACCTCGGAGGCGATGGTCTGTGCCATCAGTTGAGGCGGCACCTTCATCTGCCGAAGATAGACAGCCTTGAGTCTCGATGTCTTGAGCACCCTTCCAAAACAGGACTCAGCGCCGCCCCAACTAGGCCACCCCACTTCAGCAGTACGCGCGTTCAGAATGGGTTCTTCGATGCCGACGATACCCAAACCGACGACATGCGAGTTGTGGCGCAGAACATACCAGCCTGAGATCTTTCCCGTCACCGACATGCCGTCTGAGCCCGTCCGGGCTCTCGCCAAGTCTCAAAATGGCTCTCGAATCCGTCCAAGTGGCGAACGTTCGGTGTCTCGAGAAAGCAACGCAAATCAGACGGCTTTGTCCTCAGAAGTGACGACATCTGAGGGATCGTGACCGTCCGTTGCAAGGATGTGGACGTGCAAACTAGGAAATCCACTTGTAGTGACTGCAACGAAGCAAGCCAAAGAGCTGCTCCAGTTGGCGGTCGTTCACCTGCAAGAACTGCTGCCAAGGCCTCAAGGCCCCGACAAAACTCACGAGATCGGTGCCTCGGCAGACAAATCTTCCTGAAGGTGCTCGAAGGAGACTGTTTCTGACGACGCCCCTCTCGAGGCACAAGTTCTCGTGCATGTGACATGTTGACATTGCTATACGGGCCTGCGACCTCAGCTGGGGGAGCCGGCTGTGCCTTACGCAATCTTGCGCACATCACGCTAAATGAGAGAGTCATGGATGTGCTTATATAACCATAGCAAGACCGCTCCCATGTGTGCCAACACGCATGGAGATGCCGTGCTCCCCTTTGACACCAGGCAGGGCCGGAACATGCTGCAGATGCAACATGACGAGAACCTTGCTGAATCTCCACCCGGACCTCCCTCCCTTCAGGAGGCAAGTTCCGTTCCTACCAATTACTACATTTGCATAGCCCTGACGAGTGGGCCCGGTTACATTGAGCTGCCACTGGTCACCAATGCACCTCCTGCTTGTGGGGAGGGCACCCTGGCCACGGCTCAGCATTTAAGAAATCCCAGAGAAAGCCTACAGCTCTCTTAGAGAGAGCGTGGCTTCACTTCAAAATCCCACTAAAAGCGGTCGCGCCCGTCGACCAACGCACCGAGGGCGCCAACGATGCTTGGACCTAACCTGTTCAGGAAAAGCGAGAGCGAGACAACCTGGACATCGCCATGATGTGAAAACAGAGCCTTCGAATCACCTTCTGAACGAAAACCTGAAAGAAGCGCAGCGTGAGTCCTTGGCAACCCCACAGAAAATGTCTGAAAGCGGCTTAGACCTACCTCCCAACACTCTTCAACCAATGCTTGGACTCCGACCTTTAGAGGAGTGGTCGCCCATGTCACCTGGGGGGTTAGGATGCCCAGCTTTTTTGAGCTGCGGGTTTATGTGTGACCGGAGAAACACACATGCCCAGGTCACACTGCAGCTGCTGGGTGTCATCGTAGATATTCTCAAGCTCGCCTGCGTCCACAACGGAGACGGGGGTTACAGTCACAAGGTTGGCACGGCCTGTGAACTTGTGGAAGTTCTTGCGCACCTCAGGCAGGACCTCCCTCAAGTCCTTGCGACGCCACGGTCAGTGCTTGTCAAGCCAGCTATTACGAGGCTCCTCTGCAAACTCTCGCAAGTCTGAAAAGCGCAGGAAGGTTCGCTGTCCGCGGTGCTGGCCCGTAGAGTACACCTCTGTCCAAGTGGATCTCTGCGAATGCAGCTGTACAAACTATTCACTTGCTGCAACGTGCCTCGAAGACCTCTGTTATCAGCGAGACCTATCGGTTGACGCTACCGCCCTCCCGATACTATCCAGAGCAAGGGCTGTTTGAGATCGACTTCAGTTTGCGTGCTCAACCGTGCTTCCTAGGTGAGCCTGTTCCTTTAAGGTCTTACGGTTTTAGCTGCTATTCGCCGAACTTGTCTCTGCGCTGTCCAATTTGTCGGATCCATGGAAAGTCCAGATGCATCGTACAACAAGACGGACCTGAGAGTCTCTCTCTGGCGGTGCTGGGTCAACGCAATCGTCAGCAGCCTGTCTCTTCTCATGCACCTTGTGGCAAAGGCAAGGCATGCAATGTGCTCGCCCCTGCCGTGCACAGTCACCTGCTTTCTGTGCACGGGCCGTCCTTGTGCACGTCGGGAGGCTGACGCGGCGCAGCGGTCACGGACCTGCAACGCTCGAACTTGCGACACTTACGAGTGAAGGGCTATTCCGACAGCCTTGCATCTGCAGCTGCATCCTCAACCTCCACGTCACCAGGCGGTGGGATCTCCGACTTCGACACGACCAAAGTCACGCCATCTGACGTTCTCCTCGGACTCACATCCAGAAGGCTACCTGTCAGAAGCTGAAACAGCGGTCTGCCTTGCGAAGTGCAAGCCCGCTTCGGAAGCCATATCCTCCAACGCCTCGTAGGACACTGCAACACTAGCCGCTGCAAACATGGACTCACTTTGTAGAATGTTTCTGCCCCGGTTTCACTGACAAGTTCAGAAGGTAGTAGGCACGCGACCGTCAGCTGCATTGTTGTAAGAGGTGGTCCTAGAGTAAGTCTCTCCTTCGGGTCCTTGAGAGCCTGCACATCCACGAAGGTCTGCATCTTGCAGAACACGGGTGATTGCAACAAGTCTGTTCACCTTCGCACCTGCATTTTGGCTTGTGCAGCTGCGAGGAACTCCCGCAGATTTGCAACCTTCAGCAATCGCGCTCGGCCTGAAAAGCATTGCACAAGACTGTGAGAGCAGTACCGTGGCAGGGGCAACTCATACTGGCCTTGTGTTTCCGTCGTTAATCCAAGAGCTGCCGAGGTCACGTGGACTATGTGCCTCTCCTGCCAATGTTCCACGATGCCTTAAACCTGCTACGAAGCCCTCAGTTCCGTGGACCGTGGGGTGCGGTCTCTACTGGTTAATCCCAGTCATGTTTTTAGTTGAACCGCCGCGGTGCCCTGCGAACACGTGACAAACATGAACATCCTCCCTGTGCTCTGCCATCTCTTCGGATAAGGCTCTGCATCTCCCGCTCATCCCGTTCCCACTAGCTCGCCCAAGTCGGAGCCCTGCTCCTTGCCCATCCCTTTGAACTAATCTCATCGTTGTCGTGTTTGTCTTGTTCCTCCTGGTTGAGCTTGGCCTGGTCTGTTGAAGGTCACGACTCTTCAAGAATCAACAGCTTCCGCCCCAGCAGCAACTCTCCTGCTCCGACAGAGTCGTGCCGAAGTCTACCACCTTCCGGCGACTGGCCAGCTCGGCACGTGTCCACCAACATCTCACATAGATCAATGCCAACTCACTGGGCACTCCGCCTCTCCGCCAGCGAGGCGTGCAAGCTGATTGTGCACCTCACGATACTGCCCGCCATGCCGCTTTGGCTAGCGAGAATGTATCGCGAGTTGCAGAGGAGTGGTGCGGCGGCCTGCGCCTTGAACTGCAGCAGATTGCAAACCTGCTAGGTTGCCAGAATCTGCCCGAGCTCGCGTGGGACGCTGCCACTCTGCAGAACGAGCCTGCAATCCCGAATTGCCGTTTCCACTGACCTTAAGGGATGCCGGTATCCCTGTTGCCGTCCCACCGGCCTCGAGCCGAGATCCGGGCCGAAAGGCCCATCTCCAAGGCCATGGTGCGCACCTTTTTGCGAGGATTCTGATATGCTCTGGCAATGTCCGACAGCTGCCAGGAGCTCTGATGGCACCAGCTGTCGCTGCGCAGCAGAGAGATTCTCCGACAAGGCCTGAAGAAAAAAACGAAACCGATGGCTGCCCTGATCTTTTGCGAGTTTACTCCTCTTGGCCCCTTGGCCTTCGACTCCCCCGGCCCGATGTCCAGAAATATCCTGCCCAACAGAAAAAGGCTAAGGGCAGCTCTTCCAGACTTTACAAAGGCGCCCCACGCCTGCGGAGGTTCTGTGCAAAGTCTCCCAGGTCGTACGCAACAATTCGTCGCTCGCGACCAAAGCCCTTGCACCACATGTGCAAGTTCCAAACAAGCCCAACAGTGAAAGACCATGACTGACGTTGCATTAGGTCCATTGCCTCTGACAGAGTTGTGAGATCCAGCTCTGCAGCAAGTGCATGAACCACCTCAGCACAAAGTTCTCGAGCACTGAAGAAAACCCCATCCCACCACGTCCCATCAAATCAGCAGCTTCGGCTGTGACGAAGCGTTGCGTCCGCTTCAGAGACTGCGGAAACTCCAGACGACTGTGAGTTCCCTGGTCAGAGATCTTGGGTACATGGTGCATTGGCGGGACATTCCCAAGCAACCTCTTCTGACTGCGCTGCGAACCTTGAGCTTCTTCAGCTTGTCGCCGGCTTCGTCAGCGAAGTTGCGGAGGTGGCACACCTACAAGCTACAGTAAACACCAAAGGTTCCAATCTAAGGTCGGGTCGGTCACGCAAGTTGAAAGGCCGTTGTTTGCAAAGTGCGGAACACCTGTTCCGACGAAGGATTCGAATTTCAGGGTTCAGGGCTAGAGAACTGAGGTGCGCTTGTCATTCTGTCTACATGCTACCGTAGAACCAAACGTAAGGAGAGCTGAGGCTAAAAAAGAGCTGAGGCCGGAGCGACGATGGCCTTCGTGTCTCCTCGGGCTCCAGGGTTCAGTGCCACGGTGCCGGAGCGGCCCAGATCCGCCTCAAGGAGAGGAGGCTGAAGCCAAAGCCAGCTTAGAGATTTCAAGGAGAAACTGTGGACAGTAATGCACAGCTAGGAGAAGCATGCCTTCGACTTGGATGCCGCGTCGCTCTCCTGAGCCGAAGGCTCTGTCAATCGCAAGCAGGATTTTCTACAACGTTGACGGGGTTCAGATTTGCTTACAGGTGCCGTCGACGGACTGATGAGGTGACCACCACCGTTCACGCGCAGAAAGAGTTTGCAAACATGTCTTAGGCCACCGGAAATTCGTATTCTGATTCCTGATACTTGCGGCATTTCATGCTGCCGAGATTCACACGACGGGACCCACAATCCCATCTCATCGGCGATCTCCTTGCATGGCTATGGTCCATGGAGTCCACAACGACACTACGGAAATGGCAACGAGTCCTCGATTATATCACATTTCTCTTCAGGGAGGAGGCGCTCCGACAGCAACGGTTGCCCTGCTCCGCGAGACAAGACGCTTTCTTTGTGGTCGTCGGTCTGCCACTTGGTGAAGGTGTCATTGGCATAAGTCAAGGCATCTCCCTCGGCCAAGGAACCCAAAGCACGCTGAGCTCTCTTGCGGAAAAGATCTTCCTCTTCCTTGGAGCGGGCATCCTCGTCCGCAGATCTTTCCGCACTGCATACGAGCTGAGGAACCACGGGAACAGAAAGTCTCCTCGAGCGCCTGCGCTCATTAGGCCCCGGCTGCTCGCAAGGCTTCTGAGGACGGATCGGCCGTTCAGCTTCCAGCTTGTCTGTGCGGCTCTTTACCCGCTGTGCAATAGTGCCCTGCTCTTTGGCAACCTTTTCGAGCAGCTCCAAAAGCCGACCCTCTTCAAGAGCTTCGAAAAAATGGTTCCACTCCTTCCTTGAGACAAAACCGTTTACTGGATTCCCGTCCATCAGGTGGAAGACCTGTGCAGGCTTCATGCCTGTGAGCGTCTCCAGATCTATCCTGAGGAGCACCATGCCTGTGGACCACACCACATGGCTAAACTTGCCCTTCCGGTGGGTGTCAAACCAGTTGAATGCACGCCTCAGAGATCCGTGCTTGAGCATCAAAATGTAGGCGAGGGCTTCGATACCAGCTAGGTTCAGCCTCTTTAAGTCCTGATTAAGCTCATCTTGTTGGAGCACCGCTTCCATGTCTGCGCTGTTTAGTTCGTAAAGGTCGAGCTCGGATGTTGGTGCTGCCAAGGCTTTCAGAAGGTCTTGCGAGACACACGTCGCATCAGTCTCCTGCAAAGGTGGTTGAACGACGACCCCAGTGGGAAGCGCCTCCTCTACCTCGGTGTGCTTCGCTCCAGGATCCTCGCCTTCGTTGACTGCCAGGGCTGGCTCGCATGGCTCTGATCTTCCTGGGACCATCTCCGGCTCTGCCGTGTCGAGGACCTGCCAGGGCAGAGCAGATCTGGTGATCCAGCTGGCGCCCTTCTCTTTCTCTTCTTCTCCGAGCATTCTTTTCCGCGGGTGCACCAAGAGGCAGGGCTCGGACAGCCCAAGGCGAAGCCCTAGCTTTCGCTCATCTATGTACATGTCGAGGCAAAGGCACGCTGGATTTCAGCCGCCTGCCACTAGCACACTTTAGAATTCTCTTCGTTCAGCGGCAAGTTCTCATCTTCGTTGGCCTGCCGATGGCCTTTCGCATTTTCAGGATCATCAAAACCCAAGTCTTCAGTTGCACATCCGATGGGAACCATGTCAATAGTGCCGTTCCCAGGCTGCGCTGTGTGCTCCGCCCGCTGCCAGAGCGGACATTGCAGGAGCATCACACATAGCAACAGCGCTGCCGCGGTGACGACGAAGGGAAGCCGTCCTTCTGAAAGCAGTACTCCAACCAACGAGGGTGCGGACACATCCGCCACTTCACTTATGGAGATGGTCCACAGTGCCGGGCCCAGCAAACTTCCGGCAACCCCACCTGCTGCCTGTGCCGAGTTGAGGAGTCCCATGGCCCAGCCTTGTGCATCAGCTGGGACGCATAGCGAGGCAGCAATCTCTATACCGGATGTCAAGACACCAACGAAAACCAAGGAAGGCACTCCGAGAAAAACATGCAATAGGTGTGGCACCCCCAGAGACTGCTGCCTTGAACCAACGCAAAATCCAAACAATGTGAGGAGTGACAGCCATGCCAGGCCTTGCAGCACCTGCCGCTGTGACATCCTCTGCGTCCAGCTCGGATACATTGCCAGGGCTATGCTGAAAAGCAACGTGTTTGTTGAGGATAGGAAAGCGAAAGATCTCGCCTCCCAACCGAAGTGAAATTTAATGTAAATGGGCCACAAGGTCCGGCAAGCTGATTGACAGCAAGAGACTAAACTCAAAGTGCCAGCTGCGACAAGGAAGTCAAAGCTACACCGACTGACACTTTGCTCAACATGTCTCTGTGGCTTCGGATCTGACGGTCTGCCTGCATTGGAGCAGCCTGCTATAAGAATCACAATCCCAACCCAGCAGAAGATTGCACAGGTTCCAACCTCGGCCCTGTAACGCAGAAGCTTATCCGCAAATCCCAACAGTTGCAATCCCGAGTCGAGCGCAGGATATAGGAAGCTCCCCAACGTCAATAAGGTCATTTGAGCACGTAGCCCCACAACGAGCAGCGCGCGCTTGCTGTGCGGGAGTTCTGACGCGATGTAGCCCTTTACCATGCTCCACTGGCAACTGCCGCCAATACCCATGAAAAGTTGCGCTGTGATCAAGTGGAGGGGTGTACTGGCAATGGCTCTAATGAGGCAGCCAAATCCGCAAGAAAGCGCCGATAGCAGAAGGGGCTTCAGCACTCCACGCGAGTCCACCATCCAACCATAAATAGGTGACAGGATCATAGAAGCAGTTCCCATGAAGAAGCTTAAGTAACCAATATCCATCACTGTCGCACCCAGCTGCAGGAAAAAGAAGGTGATCACCTGCATCCAGACAAAGCATGACAAGCATCCTGACAAGGCAAGCGGGAGCGAACCCGTTGCAGACCAGCTGCCGGGCGATGAATCGAGCTTCCGAAATCAGAGAGCCAAAGCGCCAGCATCAAGGTTCTGCGGGACCAAACAGTGAACCGTCAAAGAGCTTGGTTGAGAAACACGCGCTTGCAAAACATACAAGAATCTCAAAGAGTCCTGAATCTCGGCTCAGACAACAGGATGGTGAGGAGCTCTCCTTGGCAGAATAGGCAGAGCGTATCCCAGATGAAAGATGATGGTTTTCCGATCTCCTGCAAACAAGCGACTCTGCACTCCAATCTGCTCTCGGAGATTCCATCGTGTTCCCGGAGGAGCAGCATTTTTTGGTGTATCCATGGCTGTCATGGCTTGTTGTGTGTGTATGTATATATACAAAAAATATATATTATTTATTTATTTATTTATTTATATTGTGCGTGCTGTGCCTGCATGATCAAGAACACGTACAACGAGAACAGAAGCTAGAAATGTGAAATGCAAAGGGCGGGTGTTGCCGACCGGGAGCTATCAGGTATGTCGTTGCTTCAGCTCGGGTTTCGCGGTTTACGTTGGCTGAGCAACTCGTCAAGGTCCCATGCAGCCCCCGTCCACTCCTGAATTTAGAGCCCCGTAGCTTGAAGCCCCACAAACGTCGTTCTCAAGGCTCCGTGAACTTTACCAAACCCCATGATGCACGAAGGGGGCCTGGTTGGCAAACTCGCTCAAAAAGGCTTCGGCCCCTTCATTGGCATCCTGGGATGATCGATCCATATCTGACGCAACACGAACCACAAAAAGGAACAGCCTGCCATACATTATCTGGACAAGGGGTTCGGATTCAGGGTTAAACAATGGGTGTAGTGTGCGGAGTTCAAGGGTGTTCAAGCACCGAGGAGAGTTTACGCTTTAGGTTGTCGGGTACTCCTTCTTGCCATCTTGCGTTTATGCTTTGGGCTCACCCTTTTTGCGGTTGGCCAGGTTTGTAATGCCTTTTTGTTCAGGGAGGTTTTGGGACGGCTTAGGGTTTGCGGGGAAAGGTTAGCGAGAAGTAGGGTTGAGGGTTAATGGGGGTGTAGGAGTTCGAGTTCAAGGGAGGGATTTAGAGTATTGGGTTTGGCGTGGCACAATCCTACCGCCGACTTGGGTTTGCAGTCTGAGGTTGTGGGGTTTTGCGCCTTTAGCGCTGGGGTTTTACTGTGACAGTTGAGTGAGCTCAAATCTGATAAGCCTACGGTGCTGCGGTGGCCCGTCTTGGATGCTGCGCGATCGGCGTGCAATGCTGCCAAGATACAGCCTCTGCTTGCGAAGCGCAATCTTGCACCTGTCAAGAACACGATTACAACCGTAAAACCTGCACATTTCCGAGCCTCCAAGACAATTAGCTAGAGTCGGCAACACTACTCGATACATGTAGTACATTGTAGCACCACCTGCAACTGCGCGGCGCCATTGCGAAGGCTGGCACTCGCTCCGGATTTGCTGGAAGCACGTCCTGCACGACAGGAGGCGAAGCAGGAAACTAGTACCGTGACACCCAGGCCGCCTTCTTCGCAGTGTCCAGATGAAACCTCCTGGCATTCTGGGACGCTGACATGCGCGGCAGATCCCAACAGCCGTCAGAGCCTTGATGTGAGGTAACTAAGCCCTGAAACTAGCGACACCCGGCCCCCGACGCGGCTCTTGATGGCTGGTCAACTGGGTACCCCACACGAGACCCTGACATTGACGATTGCGAGTAAGATTGGCAAAGTGATTCCTGGCACACCCTAAACCCTAAAATGGAATGGTGAATAGCACGCCTATCTAATCTAGGTAAAAGAAATTCTTTCTCGCATGCTGCCTGTGCAGTGCTGTCGTCAAGGAATTTGTCACTGGCTGGCATCCGAACATCCTGTCGAGGTTGTAGAACTCTACACACATGGATTACGACTGTAAGTGTATCACCGCCCGCCTCCGTTGCTGCAGAGTCCTGGACCTCAGGTACTAGAAACGAGAAAAGAGTTCATCACAGGAACGGAGAAACTGTACGATTAGCTTGCAATGCAGCCCAAAATGCAACCGGAGCGGAGGCGCTAGCAGTCTCTGCTTGCAAAGGGCATTCCATTGCCTACCGCAAACCACGCTCGAATCTGCAGAACACATGAAGCCAGAATCGGCAACACTACTCGATACATGTAGTACATTGTAGCACCACCTGCAACTGCGCGGCGCCATTGCGAAGGCTGGCACTCGC